TGGCTCACGGCCAGATCGAGGAGCTGTTCACCAAGATTCGCGACATTCAGCGCAAGAGCGAGGAGAGCGAGGTCACCGTACAGGAGGTCTGTCGAGACATCAAGAAGCTGGATTACGACAAGAAGCACCTCACCAACTCCATCACCGCGCTGAGGCGCCTGGCCATGCTTACGGCGGCAGTTACGGGTGCGTGTGGGGTTGGAGGGTTGGGGTTGGGGGGGACAAAAGGGGGGTGGCGGGTGGCCCATTGTATGTATGTTATGTAGGTATGTATGTATATTGATAAACTGAGCCGAGAGGCGCAATTGGCGCCAGAGATGTCGTACACACAAACACACACACCCTCCACCCGCACCTCATACACCCACAACCCCTCTGCCCCCCATTATTATAATCATAATAATAATACCACACAGACCTTGAGGCGTTGTGCGACCGTCGTGATCAGTACCGCAAGTGTGCTAACCTCATAGAGGCCGCACACAAGCTCATGGAGTGCTTCCAGCAGTACGAGGCAATACCAAAGGTACGGCAGGGGCGGATAAAGGCGGGCCATCGGGGGAATGTGTGTTCATGTGGAGGAAGAAAAACGCGTGCGAACATAGACCTGTTTGGAGAGGCACGAGGGGGTGTGGCCAAGTCAGCATGTCTGCATGTCTGCATGTCTGTCTGTCTGTCTGTCTGTGAACGTGTGTTTAGGGGTGGTTATGGGCAGATAGCAAGGTTGTGTGTGTATGGGGTCCCCTTCTTCGCCTCCCTGTAAATCCCCTTACACCCTTACCCCCTCACACCCCCCTACCCCTCACAAGGTTCGTTCTATTGCTCTCCGTTTGGCGGCGGTGGAGGCCAGGTTGCAATATGCCGTACTGAACGATTTCAAGATCCTGATCGGCGGCCCCGCCAACGACGGCCTCAAGATGCCCCCGGAGAACCTGGAGCGGCTGGCGACTGCATGTCTGGTGGTGGATGTGCTGGGGAAGGAGGTATGTGCGGGCTTGTAAGTACCGTCACCCTGAAACCGTCAACCCCCCACGGGTTGATGACATCACATGACCGCCTAGGACTCACCCACCCACTAGGGGGGGCAGTTTCTCCAGACCCCTCCCGAACACGCCTTCCGGCATGGTAGCAGATGTTCACTTCTCACCGCACTTGATGTCCCCTCTCCCCCCTCTCCCTTTCCCTCCTTCCCTACCCTCCTCCCCCCTCCCCCGCAACGGGCTTCCTGCCGGCCTGCCGCCCAGGTCCAGGACCAGGTCATGGACTGGCTGTGCAGCAGGGAGATGAGCATCTACCAGTCCGCGTTTGGGGGCGCAGTGGGCATGATGGTGGGTGC